TTATAATAATATTATAATATTTTATATTATTATAATATATGTTATAATATTATTATAATAATATAATGTTATCTATTATTAAAATATTATATATTATATTATATATTATTATAATATTATATATTATATTATATATTATTATAATATTATATATTATATTATATATTATTATAATATTATATATTATATTATATATTATTATAATATTATATATTATATTATATATTATTATAATATTATATATTATATTATATATTATTATAATATTATATATTATATTATATATTATTATAATATTATATATTATATTATATATTATTATATATTATATATTATATATTATATATTATATATTACATTATATTTTATATTATATTACATTACATTATATATTATATTATATATAAACGCTAGAATATAGAAAACCATTCGGACTAAGACATTTTCTGCACCCTGTATATATTGCCAACAGTTTTAGTCAGATTCTCTTATACTATTAATCTTTTATTATTTAATATATTCTTATATGTTAAAAACCTTGTGTTCCACTGGGCTTTTCCGAAACTGGCGTTACTGCTAATGCCTGATTATCGTATGAGTATTCCGCGGTTGGTACCGATGTGGGTGTGCTGCTATTTTCCGCTGGGTATCGTGTGCTGACTGGTGTGGTCACAGTTAAAATCGATCCTTCAGCGCCTGTAAATAATTGAGCAAAAGTCAACATCTGATAAGCAAGGAAAAATATTAAATATATTTCGGTGAATGTGAAGTTGAGTTACTTTTCTTTTTTGAGCATTCATGAGTGATTTTGTTGATTTTGTGATTTTACCTGTGACACTGTAAATTTGGGATGGCGCATTCTCGATCTCATTTATGGTCATCACGTTTTGTATTGTAGTACCGCCAAGATCCTTGCCATTATGCGTATGATTGGTAACGAATTTGTTTGGTTGTAGTTTCTTCAGAACAATGGAAACGCATGGTTTGTGGCGCAGCCAACGGATGCCCTTATAGGCGTAACGAATCGCAATCAATGCCAACAAAACAATCAACAAGACAAGAGTCAGATTGAGGCGCGCTTGAATAGAATGTATCTCGGCTTTCAATGGCTCGTACTGATTGAATTCTGTAGCAAACAAATAGGGAAAAAAGTCAAGTAAATAAAAAATGAGTGATTTCAGGCACAATTCATTGTCTTTATTTTACAAATATTTTATAAATATTTTCTACCTGCTGCTCTCAAGCGAACTTTACGAACCTTGCTTTGTAGCCTAATAAGAGCGCAACAATGTGCGGTCTTATTAGGCCCAAGTATTTTCAAATACTTGAGACTGAAAATAAGGCTAGTCTCACATATCTGCCATCAATGTGATATATTCAGACACTCATTAAAAAATTTGTAATTTGAACGCAAATGTAAACAATCAAGTTGAGTGTGAAACGCAATAAGATTTAGTTTCTTTTTTAATGAATAATAAAAATCGAATTATTTCCAGAAAAATAGAAATATGTTCAGCATGTCAACTGACACGAATTCTATTGCCGCTCATAAAATTATCGAAATGTTCTTCGTAATTCAACCAAATCGATAGAGCATTCAAGGTTCCAAGAACCACTACTACATGCAGTTAGTCCAACTGTGCACTGTGCTGGAATACCTTTGTTTAGCGTAAAAATTAGCGTAGAATGTGAAAACTATAAAAACTTATAAACTTATAAAAACTCCTTCCTGAAGTAATGTGATAGCGGTCCTGGGGATCATGTGCTCTATAATAGTCATAACACTGAAATTTTTTCTTCTTATTATTGCTTTTATCCCCATTAGGTGCAAAATGTCAATAGTACATCTAACAGATGGTAAGGTCTGCATTAGTTCCCACATCCATTAATGTATTAATGTATTAAATCTTTATATTGAGAAGATATTTCTGATTTATTAATTATTTACTTATACTATTAATGTGCCATTCTTCTACCTGCGTAGAGAATACCTAAATGTATTAAATGTACGAACTTAGTTTGGTGGCAAAGAAAAACACAATAGACACTTTTATATGTGTTGGTCCTACAAGAACTTTTAGTAGGTGACTTTTGAAATCAGGGATTAAGATTTAATTTTTCCAAAAAGTCGAAAATAGGGATTAAAACTAAAAATATACCTAGCCAGTGGTGGTGTTTAAAAATCCACAAAAAAAAATTCAAAAAACTCAGTTCCCATTCCAAGACTGTCTACGATAATGTGCAATATCTGATGAGTAAAAGGAAAGTCCAGAATTATTTCTCATTTTGTAAGTGGAAGTTTATTTTTAAACTTCCCAATACATTAGTCAAGAGTAATTGATTTAATTAATTAATAATTAATTTTATTTAATATTTATAAATAAGTAAATTGCAATAATAATGTGAAATGATGCAATGTGCCGTACTAACAAATCGTGATTCAAGCAGTCAAAACAATAATAAATAATTATTTAATCATGAAGGTGAAGAAATCACTGAAGTTAATTGTTAAGTACGAGCAAATTCTTCACATTTATCTATAGAACTAACTATGATAACATGTGTTTTCTACGAACTCTTATGACGAATCAACTTTAAGTTGTTTATCTTCAAATCTAA